AATACGCACGAGTGGAAAATATATTCCGGATATATCCACGCGATGAAAAAAACGAAGGATGGAGAAATGGAGGAGGAAGATTTGACGGATGCGGAAACGACGGGTCGCGTCTCGACGAATTCGAATTCGATTCTCGTTGCGATATTATTTCGCGGGGCGGAACGTGCCTCGGCCTGAATTGCCGAAGCTTGAGGGAGCCTCTCATCCCCGAGAAGTGCCCGTTGGGTATTTAAGAAGCATATTCCGTCCATTTGGCATTGTGCGCCGTCGAATGGACACTTTCGGTCGTTGGGCGTTGAGAGAGGAGAGGCAGGCGAGGCGAGAGATCCAAGGATCGAGGTATTGATCGTAAGCGGCTTGCCCTGTGGGGACTTTACCTTTGTGCCACCACCATCGGCTATTCGCCTCGTAAGTTCACACCTTGGCATAATCGGAGTATCCGGGAAAGCAGGACGCGGCCGACCATTAGAGGCCGCGACATTTACACCGTAAACGGACACTCTCACGCGCCCATCTCACAAAAGGGAACGTGTATTTAAATGTACCCCGATTCGTGTGAAAATAATTTTTCCTTTACACCGCGAACCGTTACTTTTAATCCAATGGAATTTCTACAGATTTAATTTCACTCGATCTTGAAGGGAACACAAATTTTTCCAAATTCTATTCTTCTATTCAGAATTAGCAATCGTATGAATTTTCCATTTTAATTATCGGTGATCTCGAAAAAATTTCGCGTTAAATAAAGTTAAACTTCGATAAAAGAATATTTTTTTTCCCAAACGATAAAAACGATTATTAGATATAATAATGCAATTTTCGTGTTAATATCATTTCCTCCACTCATTGTTTTAATATTGTAACGAAAAAGTGTAAGGATTTAAACTATGAATTAGTGCATAATTTCAAAAGCTGGTTAAAGCAACGCGTAACAATTATTATCGACAATACCACATACGAGTTAGAGAACTTGCACAAGAGAAAACTACCATTTGCAACAGCGCGGATAGGTAACCGCGGAATCCCTGATTTTTAAATCTCGGAGGGGGCAGAGGAGGAAAAATGTGTGTTTTCTTTGCAGGCGTTGCGCTCGCGCGCGTAGCGTACGCGCTTAAACGAGCGCGTGTGCACGCGTCTCTAAGTAGCCTCCGTACAGTACACCGAGAGTCTCGCTCTCTTCACGGGGAGGGGAGGGGGCGGGGAGAGAGGGAGTTCCATAATGTGTAAGTAAGTTCATCGCGGGCGCGCTGATGCGTGTGTAATCCCGTGGTGCTTACCGATACCATCGTGGGTTTTATTTTCATTATTCATTTGTTCGCCCCGTTCCCCCATGGATGATGGCAAGGGAAGCTTACACGCGTAACCCCGTGTTTCTATGTTGGTTTAATCAGATAAAACCCCGGAACGCCAAAAATCGCCGCACGCTAAACCGAGCCGCGCCGTTCCGCTCTTTCTTCGTCAGAAAAAAAAAAAAAAAAAAAAAAAAAAAAAA